TGTATTTTTGTTTTTAACATTAGATATATATATATATATATATATATATATATATATATATATATATATATATATGAAGTATAACTCTTTGAAGTGAGATCAATCCTATAAAAATTAAGTAGTACATTAGTCACAACTCCAAAACATAAAGCAAGAATCAAGTCCCAATCATTAATTAAAAAACAAATATGAAATCACATGAACCAACCACCTTATTTTAAAACAATTTGACATCTGTATTTAATACTGTGTACATTTTACGAGACGTAGTATGAACATCATTATGGCAATAATAATCTATAATATGCGATCAAAAATACTTGTAAATAGTCCTCAATCAAGCTCTTAGAAAAACTTCAATTGCTTACACGTGCATGCTATGAATGAGCTAAACCTTCAATGGTGGTTTCTTGTATTACACACCAAGAAAATGTATATGCAGAAATTCTAAATATCCAATTAGTATTAGAGTCTATTTAAATATAAATCAAAAGAGCTTTTCTTTCTTTCGAAATTTTTCTATTAAAAATAATTCTTTATTTTCAGTAAAATTCTTAAAAATTCTTCCAAACTTGTATTAAAAAAATACTCTTAATTTAATCAAAATTAAAATATAAGAATTTGACCCTAATGTAAACAATCCATAGAGTATGTTTGACACACTAGGTACATGATAAGGAGAATAACACAAGACAAATATTCAGGAAATCAACCAATTTTTTATTTTAAACATTAGTTGATAAATAATATACAATAGAGATAAAATAATGTTAAATTTATTAAAATATTTTTTTTAATATAATTATCATAAAATTTATAATTAATTATTATTATCTTAATTAAAATAATGATTGTAAGAATTATAATGATGACAATAATATTAACAGTAGTGATAATAATAATCACAATATTTAGAAAATGATGATAAGTTATGATAAAAATAATATGTTATAATCTAAGTGATAAGTGACGATGATGATGATAATAATAGAGATAAGAGTCAAGTGGTAATGATATAATATTATGATAGTTAGTATTTTTGTATTTAAAATAAAAAGCTGTATAATTTATTGAGTTACAAAAATACAAAACTTTTGTCTTGTCCTTTTTTATTTTTTATTTTTTGTATTCTCCTGTGATCATTTTATAAATCAAACACAAAACTAACATATTTATCCTGTTTTATTGAATCAAAGATTCATAGGGTATATTTTAGCCATGAAATATTCCAGAATACCAATCCACCGTTCACTATATGATGAAAATAAAAACGAATCTTCTGCCAACACGCCAAAGAAATTATCTATTTATTTTTTTTCAATATTACACTAGAATTAAAAATGAAATGTGATAAGAAAGAAATCGACCAAATTAACATAATAAACTCACTCAAGGGCCCAACAACAATACATCAGCCAAACAGGACTTCTCCCTTTGTCAACTGCAGACTTGCCACTATTATCAGTCTAACCCTGCTCTGCTTCCATACATAGTATGATCATCGCAGTCCAAACCACATGAAAACAACAAAGGGTAAGCTAGTGAAAAGAAATAACATACATATATATAAATATATATATAAATATATGAATAGTAAACAACTACCCCTATCAACACATCAAATCAACTCATCAATCAACTTAACAAAATCAGTTTAAAATCGCACAACATTCAGCAATAACAGCACACATCTCACATCATCAGTATACAACTCATCGATTTTACAGCATAATCAGCAATAAGCACACAATGCGTCGTCACGCATATCAACTCGGAGATCTCCTACAACAACTCAGCCTTTCGGCCTACAACACCTCAGCCTTTCGGCCTACAACACCTCAGCCTTTCGCCCTACAACTCCTCAGCATTTCGGCTTACAACATTCAAAATCAACACACAGTACAACACAACTGTACAGCTCAACATATAACTTACAACAATGTACAACTAATACAACTCAACATATCAACTTACAACAATATACAACTGATACAACTCAACATCAACAAGCAGCGTTAACCACAAGTCATCCCATTATAATCAACAACTTCGACTTAAACTCAACATAAACAACCTCTGACATCCATTAGTGAAATCACATCTCCGCGCCCAGCACAATCGTGGTTGCACCCAGCGCGGTACAACCAGAGAGCACCAGGGAGGCCAACGCGCCCAGCGCAAGCATGCCCGCGCCTGGCAGGACCCAGCCAGAGAGCCCAAGGCTCACTCGCGCCTGGCGCAATACCAATTGCGCCCAGCGCCCACAAGGCAGAGACTCCCAAGGAGTCTCACGCCCAGCGCGACAAGGGCCGCGCTCAGCGCAGCACATCAATATCAGCATCCAGCACAACTAGGTAGTATACAACACAACTTATTGCTCACAACTCAGTTCAACAATCTATAGTACAACAATATTTTAATTCAACCTGAAAATCATTCATGACAACCCAGCTCAGCACAGCAATATATATATATATATATCTATTACAGCGTAGCATTACATCATTAACAGCATATACAACATTCAGCATATCCACCTTGTTTACAACTCATCTATCTTGTCAAATTCTCCATCCAAACAACACCAATCAACCTAAGCACTTAAAACAACTTTTAACGTAACCAAATCACTAAATGTGAAATGACAACCTTCACAGAAAACAGCGCATTAGGAGTTATACTACTCCTACCATACTCATCCCTATCTCATATGAAAGATAAGAAGATTTCCTACAACTCTCCTGAAGACACCAAGTCCTAATTCCTTCATCTACCATGTTAAAAATGATAAAAACCGCAACAGCTATAACAAAGTTAGCAGCTCGACCCCTCTTCACTAAAACAGCCATATCTAGAGTTCTAAAACTCCTTTTTGAGTGATTCCAGCGCCAATGGAAAGCTAACATCCAAGGCTACAACTTTCATGAAGACTATAAAGTCAAATTATGAAAATCAAACGCGCCCGGTGCATTAAAAGCGTGTCTGGCGCAATTCTCAACCAGAGACCTACAGAGGTCTATTGCGCCCGGCGTGGTTCTCCCCACGCCCGGCGCGATTCACCCAGGGATTTCCCATTTCAAATCATGCCCGGCGCGAAGAACTGCGCCCGGCGCAAATTCAAACTAGAACCCTTACCTACTTCAAAATTTTCATCAAAACCTGCGAAAAACACCAGGAAACCAACATGCAAACCATCCAAAAGCCAGCATTTTCATCAAACATCAAGAAAAACACTTCATTTCCAACATGCAACCATCAACAAGTGAAATCCTCAAGATTTGTACCCGAACCCCGGAAACCCGAAACGAAAATTTTTCTTCAATCACAGCCAAGAATCAACCTCTTCAACAACAATTGAGTAACTTGAACTCCATGACATCCAAAAACAACGAAGAAAGCTAGCTTCCCTTACCTCGGTTCAACGGCTCCGAGCTTCGGAAAGGAGAACGAAAGAGAGAACGAAAATGGCTTGAACGAATGAAAAGGGGAAGGAAGAAATCCGCACACCCCAGCTAGCACTCCAACTACTGGGCACCTAAGCTCACCCAAGAAGGAAGAATCAGCAAATGAGTAGGAAGAGTTTGAGGGAGAATGATAGGGGAAGAGGAGGAAAAAAAATAAGAGCAGGTCTCACAGTAACTGGTGTGAAAATGTACAGTTGAGAGTCGTGGACGCCGACCTACAAATCATGCGTGCCAAGCACGACACTTCATGAATAAATCATTAATTTAGTCTTTAAAATATCAACAAATCTCTTAAATTGCCCCTAAATTAATAAAAAATAGTTTTAATAAAAAATAATAATAAAATGACAAATTAAGTACATGAATAAGAACATAAATTAGATATTTATTGCGACTGGCATAATCTTATTATTGATAATAATAAAAAAAAAACTAATAAAATGAGATAAGTAATCTCATAAGGTTTGAATCTCATAAGTAATCTTATTTCTTTAAAGGACTACTTAGCATGTTTTTCCATACTTAGAGAATTAATTACGTAATTTTCTTGTTTTATAAACTATTTAGAAAAGAGGCTAATACTTTAATAAATAAATAAAATTAATGATTTTAAATTTTTAATATATATTTAAAAACTTTTATGACAATGTGTATGTTAAAAATTATATCAAAGATTTCTGATTAACATTGTAACAACTTACATGCATGTGCATCAAACTCATCGTTAATTATTTTTCCCCCTATGCTAACAAATTTCCGTTTTCTTGATCATAAGTGGCAACTGATTTTTCCAAAGTTTCTTCTGCACCTTTTGACTTTTGGAACGAATCCAGAGAAGGGTGAAGATGATTGTGCATAGGTGGAGACTAATACCACTAGTTTAGAACAAGTGGAGGGATATTAAAATATGAAGATTTGTTGGGTAGCTCCTGGTTCTGATGTATAGTTAATGTTACGTGAATGCAGATATTGGGTTATGATTGGCTTGGTATGGTGGAGTTATGAGAAATGACTTGTCAATGTCAATGTCTATTGCAGGATTCTCAGCAAACATTGGATATTATAGCTGAACTATGAGGTGTTTTGAAAGGGTTAGCCTTGGCTTGTAGTAGAATCCTTATGGAAGCCCACTCCAAGTTGGCTATTGCCTTAATTATTCATGCTGCTTATCATCTTGGAAAATGGAAATAGTATATTTATTGTTTCAAAAAAATTATTATTTTTCAAAACATTTTTAATATTTTTCACAAAGTATTTTTCACAACATTAAATTTTTCTTTCGGATATATTGTTGCTCATAGAAAATGTAATATTCGCTTGCATATTGGATGGGCAGGTGCAAATGAGAATCTCAAATAAAAGAATTAGGGTTGTTGGTAAGGGGAGGTATTTGAGTTGTAAAATTCGATGTTGGTCATGGTTGTTCGATAAGATAAATTGGTTCTCTTTCTCTTTTTTGAAAATGGTCGAAAGTTCTTTGATTTGTTTAAAATGTTTGTAAGTTGGATATTAATAATAAGAGTGAGAAATAAATCTATTTAATTGAGTTCAATTGAGATTTTAAAATGTTATATTAATATTAAAAAAGTTTTGTGAATTTTAAAAAATTATATAAGAATATATTGAATTATAAAGATTAAAAAAAATAATTAAAAAATATTTCATGAAATAAAAATTATTTAATTTTTAAAATATTATTTTTATGGATGAATTAAATATTTATTTTTGAAAAAATTGTTAATATATGAATTGAATGAATATTTTACTTTAAATAGATTAAATGGAATAAATTTTTATGTAAATTTTTAATAAATTTAAATAAATTAATGTATTATTTGTATCCGACCTATTATAATTTATCTAAAATAATATTCAATCTATCAATTTGTCATCCTCTAACTAATAGGAACATATTGTTATAAATTTAAGTGCAAGCACAATTAATAAACAATGTCTTGTTAAAGATTTATTAGACTTAGAATACGATTGTTTAATAGGTTAAAGGTTGTTTTTGAAAATGTAAATATGCGGATGTAATATTCTCATTTTTGTTACTTTTGAAAAATTATTCTTAATCTTAAATTTTTTATTTTTGAAAAAGTTATCTATCATATTTTATTACATTTTTATTCTCGTATTAAGGGGTGAGAAAACACATTTCACGAGAATATGAAAAATTATGTTATAATACATTTTAACATATTTTATAAAATATTTTTTTTATTTAAAAATTGTAAATTTTTAAAAATATTCCTCAAAAATAGTATAATGTAATCAAACATTTTTTTAATATATCTAAAATAAGATTTCAGAGAAAAAATATTCTTGTAAATGTAATATGTTCATAATTCATGACAGTCGCATTTTATTCATAATTCATGTCAGATATTTGAATGTGTTTTTTTAAGGGTTAGAGTACCTTATCTAATATATTGTTGCTTTTGGTTTATAAAAAAAGGTCAAATATTAATTTATTTTTTATTTTAAAATATTAAATTGGAGAATATTTATTCTAAAATGAAAAAAAAAATGTTATCTCTTTTTTTTTCTTTTAAAACTCAACTCATAAATATCTTCTACCTTACTTTTAGGATCTTGGATTAGATATATTAGGGATTTGGAAGAAATTATTCTTGATAAAGACCTCAGCTCAATGGAGATCCAATAAATTATTATAGGTTAAAACCCTATTTTGGTCTCTTATATTAATTGTTTGTTTCAATTTAGTCTCATTTTTATTTTTGGTTTCAATTTGGTCTCAAACTAATTAATTGGTTTCAATTTAGTCCCAAATTAATTAATTGGTTTCAATGTGGGACTTCCGTCCAAATTATTTAAACGTAGTTAACTTTTAGTCACGTGGATGCCACGTGGATGACAATTTTTTTTGAAAACACCTGGACCCAGAACGGTCCGTTCTGGTGTGTTAATTTTGCAACTAAAACGGGCCGTTCTGAAACCAGAACGGACCGTTCTGGATTCAGAACGGCCCGTTCCAAAACTGAAATTGTGTTTTTGATCGCTCAAGTATTATAATTATGCAATTTTGATCCTTAAGGTTTTAATTGAGTAATTTCAGTCATTAAAAGATTACAGTTGTGTAATTTTAGTCTCACAATTTTTAATTAAACAATTTTAATCTCTCAAATATCATAATTGTGCAATTTTAGTCTTTCTCATTAAAAATTTAATAATTTTAAAATTTTAATATATATATATATAATGTTTTAAAACTATATAATTGTTTGCTTATTTAAATTAACGTATATTATAATTTTTTAATATATCAAATAATATATATTTATTATTACTAAATAATAGAATTTATATATTATTAATATTTTAATATTACTGATAAATTAATATCAATAATATTTTTACTATATTTATAAATAAACTAATAATTTGATAAATATAACTTAATATATATTAATATACTTTTACAAAAATATAAATATATAAGATCAGATATATATTTCTAATTAATATACTTATATTTTTGTAAAAGTATATTAATATATAACAAGTTATATTTATCAAATTATTAGTTTATCTATAAATATATTAATAATATTATTGATATAATATCGAAAATTATAATATACGTTAATTTGAATAGATAAATAATTATTTAATTTTAAAACATTATATATATATATAT